AGGGTTATATCATATAGGGTATGGCATGCCACCGTGCCCAGTTGGACAAGTCAGAGACTCAGGTTAATTAGGCCGTGGTGCAGGTGGGCGCACTGGATCAAGTGGATGGCAGCGCTGTATGGAGAGGTGCAGAGTGGGTGTGATGGCGAACAGCGAACAGCAACGTGCAGACTTGCAGCCAGGCTCGACTGTGATCAGACATACGCTGACCAGTTGCACGGGGCATGCCGTGGGCGGTGAGGGATCTCAGCGTGGACGGGGTACCTGTTGATCCAAGTGTACCACCAGCCGCCCCCTCAGGGTTCTTTCGCTAGTTTTTAGCGGCAGCAGGGGATCAACAAGTCAGGCGTCGATGGACTGAGTGTCTGGCTGCCACCTGTCTTAGGCTTTTTGGCAGCAAAACGGTCAAAAAGTTCGGATCAACATGCAGCATTGCGTAGTGACGAGAATGAGGGGAAAACAGACAGACGCACACGGAGAGTTTGTCGTCTAAACTTTGCGTCCCATAGGCTGCACTGTTCATCCACCGGGGCAATCTTCGGGCTGCGACGCTGGGATGCGTTTGCCCTTTTGCTGAGATGACTCGTCACAGAATTTGCCATTGGTAGGTATATTGCAGCCCCTAGAATACGCCTGCTTGCGACAGCGACAGCGCCCAAAATAATGCACCACTTTTTATTTTTCTCAATCCTTCTCCAGTGTGATCTGGGTTGATACCTCCCATCTCTGACCGCCGCTGCCGTACCCACCCCCTAGTCGGTTCCGTACTGCACTGCCAATCCGATCCCGAAGACGCCCAATTTCCTCCAAATTTCGCACCCGTAACTTGAGGTTGGCCTGACTGAGCCCATAATGGACTTGCCAAAATTTCGCTTCCTCTACTATGCTGACCCCTGGATCCGTCTCGATATCGTACATGACATCCGACACCCCCGGGCCTGAATAGGACATGAGCAGCATTTTGCCCAATGTCCAGCCCTGAACCCAACCCAGAGCCACCATGGAAAATGCAACCGAAAATGACAGTGTGCGGTCTAACCAAACATACATTTGTATGCTCAACAGCGGTAAGATGAGAAGAAGCGCCGAGCAAGACAGGGTAAGGAAATGCGACGGATTGCTCAGCACTGAGGGTAGGTTAGCTATAGCACTGAGTCGCATCACCTTCCCGATGCGAGCGTGGTTCTTCAGCAGGACAGCCGATACCAGTGTCGACATGATGCCGCTCAAAGCAGCAAGATCAATGCTGCCAGGAGACACTCGTTCGTGAGACTCGGGATGGTGGGCTTGGTGTCCGCCTGTGTTCTCCAGAGCATGTGTCAGCCCATGAGATATGAGATCAAGGCCCATGAAAAGTAGCCCCACAGACATGCCCAGTCCTGCAATCACTTCTAACCGTTCAAATCCAAATGGGTGCCGGATACTGGACCGTTTCCAGACCTCGAAGTTTGAACCAACATCAACAGCCACGCAAAGAAATGCTCCGAGGGCATCGTAGAAAATGAGACGAGATAGCACGGTGAGGGATAGAGATTCATGCGCACCCCATTGCACAAGCCCTGCCACGACCAAATGGCAGAAACACCAGGCTAGACGCAACTTTTGGTCCTTAGACATGGAAGAACGATACTCTTTAAAGGTTGGAATTGGGAGGGATGCTGGGAGCTGGAGAGGGGCGCGTGGGGCAGGTTCGAGAAAAATTTGATGGGAAACACTACTGTGTTTGTACTTGTGTCCTCTTCGGCGACCGATATCCTGCGATTGTTAGAACAATTGAGTGCATGTCCCTAGTTGAGCACCTACTGATTTGTTCGGCGTGGGGCGCCCAGGCGCATAGCTAACTGGCTCAAAATTGAACGGTGTTTGCGCATTTTCCGAGCTCTCTACATAGGTCGTCTCACTACCAGCAGTGCTCATGGTGTTGTGAGGGAAGGTGGCGCTGGCAGGAGTATTCAACAGGGGCGTCGGCCGCTGGGAGATGGAATCGCCAGGCCCAAGAGGAGAGTAATTCTTCAAGGGAAAGGTGGCTGATAGTGGAGAGAGCGTGTTTGAGTCGTACGCCAGCCGACTGGGAGCCAGGTCGCCCTCTAGTCCAAGTCCAACATGTTCGGGGGCGTCTTGGTCAGGAGGCGGCGTGGGCGTCCGCGGTGGGACGGGAAGGGGCATATTGGAGGCCATTTTGGCAAGATAATGAGTGACTCGAAGGAGTGGCTGTTAAGATGAACTCATAACAAAGTGAATGAAACCAGATCAAACAGCCCAAGATAGAAGGTGGAGGGGAGATTGGGGGAGGTCCTCGGTATGCGGCTGGGTCTTGCTCGATGGGCCCATGCAGCAGCCAATCTGCGTCGAGCAAGCCCGCGTGCCAATGACGCAGCCTTAGGACTCAGGAGGGAGCGTCTATCAGAAACCATGGGCTATGAGCCATGCGCCATGCTGCTTGAGCCACGAACCAGTTCAGAGGAATAGGTAAAGGTAAAAAATAATAATAGCGGCAGTAAAGCTAGCGGCGCCGTGCATGCGCAGGTGGAAGAGCAGAGCCACAACAGAACCTTGGCAAGGTAGGCCACCGTGGCGACAACAATGAACATACCAACCCGCCTTTCTCTCGACTCTTCGCCCGAAAGCGACTCTCGCTCGCTGCAAAAGCAAAAGCGCGGTCCGCCTATATCGTATATCTCAACCACCGATGAAGAAGAGAGCAGCCAACATCCAGTATCATCCCTCACCCAGCGCCATGCCTACGGTACGGACCTTCGTACCGCCCCAACCGCTCCTGCCGTACCCTCCGATGTCGACGCCGAAGATGAATGGGACTATAGCGAGACGGAGCGATGGGGCTGGGTTATCCTTATAGCGACATGGATGGTATTTGTCGTAGTCATGGGCTCTTGCTTCGGCGTGTGGTCTTGGGCGTGGGATGTAGGCGAAACTCCGTATGCGCCACCAGATCTCGAAGACGACGACACACTACCGATCACAGGGTACTACCCTGCATTGATGGTCTGCACTGCTGTTATGGCCTGGGTATGGGTAGTAGTGGCATGGGTGGGAATGAAGTACTTTCGCCATGCCAAGGTCGTCGCAGACGATGGATAGCTGTTACGCCAACAACAACCCCAATCACCACATATATCAGCACTAATAACGTGCATGAATATTGCTGTTTGGGCTCACCGATAGTCTGTTCCTATTCCGGATTTCGCTTACTCGCGCCAAACGAGCAATATGTTCCTGGGGATGAAACACTAAGTATAACAACTCTACTAAGTCACCTCACAGCCTCGTTGCTGCATCTCTTCACAAATCTGTACAGCCAGCATCTTAGTTGCTGTGTATATCCAGACTTGGATTTGATAATCTGCAACGGCTCTCAAGTGCTTGGGTTGCAAACGTCCGCTTGAACTCAACATGTGTGTAGTAATTACTGCAGTAAATCGCCCAATTTCAAGTACATCCGGGAGCTCGGCTCACCCCAGTGCCGGTTCAAAAGTCCCGATTTCAGGTCCTAGACATTTCTAGAACATGGCCGAAGTACCAGAGGCTTTTCACAGCACGACCCCACTGGCACCATGGTGGTATCTGTGCAGGGACATTGCCTGTCCTTGCAATCTACAGAAGGTAAGACGAGGTGCAATCTCCCCACCTCAAGTCTTTCAACACGGGTTTTGCAGAACTGACTGATGATTGAAGTGCCAACGGTGCGAAGACTTTATCATGGCGTTGCGTAGGAATCCGCAGAGATGCTGCCAGGAGAGATATTTATCGACAGTCATTACTATCAAGCCCCAATCAGTCGATGCTGAGATCAGAGAGAACAACACCATTGGGTGGGAGCAGTCAACTTCATATCAACTATGCACAAAGCGCCAGACTATCAAGAGACGGAAAGATAAAATTGCCACCCGCCATGTAGTGCAGCCAACAAACGGCAAGCCCTTTCCATTTTTCAAGCTCCCGCGCGAGATTCGTGACCAGGTGTATGCGAACCTTGTAGTTGCGCATAACAGCTGCGGTCGATCCATCATTCCAGCCGCAGCTCTACTCAGTGGAAAAAAGGCACGCGCCGCGGCTCAAGCAAAGCGGGAGCGATTGAATCAAAAGCGAATCTCGAGCGGAAGACCACCGATTCGCGAACGACATATCGATTCAGAACCAATCGTCCATTTGAATCTCCTCCAAGCATCTCAGCAACTTCACAATGAAGCCAAGGATTATCTATACAGCAACAACTGGTTCGCCATTACACTAAACAAGCTCCCTCTAAATACATTCGAAATCCCCCACGGATGGGACCTTTCCCGCATCAAAAAATTGCAGATGGAGCTACAATTGAAGAACGCAGCACACATGAACAACTATGTCGATTGGGAATCGCTTTTCGCCCCATTTACCTCCCTTCGATTTCTGCGCATTGTCCCTACTTTTCATCCACGATATTACGATTGGGCGCACACAGAGATGCTCGACTGGCCCAGTATGCACTATATCCACAAGGCCTTTTTCCGAGAATTGATCAACGCCATACCACGACACATGGATGTCAAACTCGGATCTTCGCCAAGAGCGTCAACTGATATGCATTTGCAAGGCAAACCACTTGATAGGGCGCTATTAGGGGATATTTGTGCGGAATTTGGCCCAAGCCAAATAAATCAGCCTTTTGTCATGATTGATCATGCTATGAGCTAAGATATACAATGGATGGTTGTGCCGCGGGTGACTCACGGGTTGTAATGCGATCATGCTATTGGAACAGTCCCAGATATGAAGCTGGTTTCATATTCTCGCTTACATATACATGTACATATTCTATGATAACAAAGTAATGGGAATATAATAACAAATAATTACCCATCTAAAATATACCAAAAAATATATCAAGATGCTCAGGGGTGCCTGTGAGAGCTAATATGTGGCACGTGACCAGCATCCTCACCCCCACAACCGTGCAAAAATGATGTTCGAGATGTCCTGAGCAAGCCAGGCACGAGAACTATTGTCCCTTTCGCGGATCGAACGCGATACCTCCAGATTTAATGACTGATGTACTTCAGTCTGGCGCTCTCCCAAGTGAGCTAAAGAGACTGGATAATGATGATTAGAAGAATTGCAAAATTTGGCATATACCAACTGGTTGAGTTGCGGATGTCATAATTCCCACAATCCACAACATACTTCTCATGTTTGACACTCTAGAAGGTTGCCTGCATATTTTTCCTCGCCCCACCATTGTGCGGTGAGGCATAGGAATCATCTATATTAGGCTTAGTTCACCGAGGTTCGCGTATGAACGTCGAACTAAGATACAAGAACTACCCATTTTACTAAACGCTGGATTAGGTTGCGACTCTCGCCGCCATGCAGTCTTCGCCGCTCGCCAATTCATTGGCGACGGTAGCTCAGCTTGAGACGTCAGGTTCGCTCCTCGACGGTATCCCATCGGAGCTCGAGGACTCGATTCGCTTTGCCGGCGCAAGATACACACAGGCCGCCGGTATACTTCTCCGACTACCCCAAGAAGTAATTGCGCAAGCAATAGTAATCTTCACAAGATTCTGGCTCGGCCCCGACGGCGGAAGCTTGGTGGAATTCGGCGCAGAGGTAAATCTAATTCCTTTCCTCACTCAACCCCACTCGTACTTACCACAACGCAGCAAGTATCTGCAGCTTCACTCTATGCAGTCACCAAGCTCTCCGCATACCCAAAGTCACCACGAAGCATCGTAAACGTTTACGCTTATCTGTCTTCCTTACCTTCAACCTTCACTCAACCCTCCGACCTCGAGCGCAAGAATGTCGAAACATACTTCGTCTCCGAAGGCACGTACGAACGTCGCCGCACAACACTCTTCACAACCGAGCAACGTATTCTTCGTACTCTCGGTTTCAACCTTCGTGTCAATCTCCCATATACGCTTTGCATAACCTATCTCCAAGCCCTCGACGTCTTTACCCATCCCCGCGCACCAGAACTCGCCAAACGCGCAATTGCACATCTTAATGCTGCGCTATTGAGTCCCCAGATGCTGTATTTGACGCATCAGCCGCCGCAACTGGCGACGGCTGCTATATATCTCGCGGCGAGGGAGGTGCAAATTAAGTTGCCTGAGGTGGAGTGGTGGGAGGTTTTCGATACCGATAGAGAGGAGTTGGGTTTCTTGTGTGTGGGGTTACTGAGTATTGAGGGGTTTGCGCTGAAAGAGAGGGAAATTTGGGATGGGAAGAGGGTGCCTATGAGTGTTGGGGAGGTGGAAGCGGAAATGAAGAGGAGGGGTGCGGAGGCTGGAGACTGAGGGGAAAGACAAGGGGACTACGCGATCACTGATGATAGATTCGAATTGGGAAAATAGGCCAGGTAACTCGGATAGGCCTATATTTTTTGTATGCTGAGTCGCCAGACTGAGGACAATGGGTATGCCCCATCGATTCCCCTGGGGGCCCACGTTTGGAAAGATATGGCTGATATTTTTGGCCTAGCACGTCACATACATCGAAAGGGCCTCTTAACACATTGCACTTCACCGGAAACGAGGTGTCGCTTGGAATGCCTCCAAGTCACTATGGTAGCAAGTGGCTATCGGGAAAAAAATACCGCCTGTAACATGACACTCTTCCGGCTTCAACATTGGCATTCCTAACGAAATACTGCAAGGCGTGATTGTGGGTCGTCGGTCTTTGGATAAGGTGATCAATATTATCATGATGGCAACCCAAAGAACGAGAACGGACGCACGAGTTGAATATTGCTAGGGAGCTTAAGTGCATGCCGAAGGAGAATCTTAGGGATATTATGCACAACCTTGCTGGCAAAATTCTCACCCAACACCGCACACAAAATCAACCAAACCGCTCCTTAGCAATCTGCTTCAAAAAGGCCATAGTTTTGTCCTCCTTCTCCCTTCTCTCAGACAGTTTCTCCTCCCACTCCGCCGCCCTAGCCTGCGCAATTTCATCCCTCCTAATCTCCCTATCGCTCTTCTTCCGCTCTTCCTCCTTCTTCTTCCTCCTATACATATCGATGCCATCGTCGCCCATCAAGTCCGCTTCCGCAACCTCAATGTCACCGTTTTCCTTAGCGTCACGGAACGATTGCAGTGTACTGGTGACTTCGCGCTTCTTCTCGAGCTGGCGTTCGCGAGAACCAGGGTCTGCGCGTGGAGCGAGTTCGTCAAGGCGCTCTTTTTGCGTCTTGCGCTCTGTTTTGCGGTCGTGGCGCATATCATCGAGATAATCTGCGCGTTGGCGTGCGCGGTCTTCTTCTCGCATTTCATTGCGGTACGCTAGATCATCGAGTTTTGGGACCGTGGGACCATGGCCTTTGCGTCGTGATATGTCCGTTGGTGGAGCAGGACCGAAATCGTCATCGCTTTGCTCTTCTTCATCTTCTTTTGGTGCATATTTCGGGGAGGGGCGTCGTGGACCCTTTGGTGAGTTGTTTTGATAGGCTTGTACGGTGTCTTGGGCAGTCTTCAGCATAGAAGGATCGTACCAGCTGCGTGCTAGGTCTCCACGGTTCCTGAGGCGTTCGTTAGCATAGTAACATATGCAACTATAAAGACTTTACAAAGAAATGGCGCATACCATCGGCCAATGAAGCTTTTCCAACGTCCTTTTGCTTCGCGCTCGTCGAGGTCATCTAGCTGAATTTGCTTTTGGATATCGAGGTAGGATTGAAAGAGCGGTTTATACTCTTCATACTGGCGCTTTGAGAGGGGCTTTGATTTGTAGGGTAGCACTACTGGCTTCAACTGTGGTGAGCGCGACCTGTGTCGTTTGTGTCGATGTCGGTCCTCGTCACGACGTGGAGAGCGCGAGCGGCGTGTGTGTCGGCGTTTGCGATCGTGGTGCGCTTCACGGGTTGGCGATCCAGACGCTGGTGCGGCGGAATGCTGACCGTGCTCCAGACTACGACTTCGAGGCATGCTTGTGGTTGAGGCGGAATGTGGAGATGCAGTTGATGAGATGCTTGCGCGCGGGCCGTTCCCTGGCAGGGTTCCACTTGCTTGCATATATTGTGATAACGTCACACTTAATGATCAGCCCCAACGAAGGTGAGGTAGATTCTATTGAGATAAAATATTTACTCTTGCCAAAATAAGGACTATTTACAATTCCAACATAAACACCATGTACTCCTGTGAATGCTCCCTGAACTCCAGCACCCATAACACTATGCTGTACTGGCTGTACTGGCTGAACTGGCTGTACTAGCTGTACTTGCTCTACTCATCATCTAGTATCGAGCTCGCAAGCGGCCCAAAAAAGGGTACTTCGTATCGATCGAGTGTAGCCGCTATATCTGATTAGCTTCATATCTGCACAATGTCTTCAGTTACAACTCACCATCCAGATAAGCCCTCCAGGTCAACCACCCAATCAACCCCACATCTCCGACAAACAATAACCACGAAATGAAACTCGACCAGCTGAATATGATGTGTATCACAAAGACAAACGAGAATAGCAGACTGCTCTGCCACGCATGGAATCGCACGTAATCGCTTTGGTGCTCCATCACCAATAGGAAAACGCCTCCTGCTGGTGGCAAGAGCAAATAGGCGAAACATGCCTCGTAGTCTAACCGCCAGCCTAGACTTGTAGTGAACATATCCACATCTTCGCGTGAGCGGCCAAATCCTGTGCGAGTTGACGATTGCGGCACATTCCAAGCCACACGCTCAACATCGGGAGACTCTTGTTCTCCAGCACCAAAGTAATCATGTTGCTCGTACGTGCGACTAGGCGGCGGTATAACGTTGCGTGTGCGATCTATGGATGCACGTGGTGAGGTGATATGTGGTGAGCCGAGGCCCTGTGGGGGTGGGGAGAGAGCGCGCTGGGTTTCGGGAATGTCTTGATAGGGCGCAAAATTGGTTGTCATGATGTCTTGCCGCTCCGCCTGAGACTGAGTGTGATGGTGTTGTGCTGTTGGAAGGCAGGAAGGGTCGATTCCATAGGGCTGAGCCTAGAGGAAGGTGCACCTGGGGGCGGTGACGCGTTAGGCAGGGATTAGGACCTCATCAGGGCCTGCACGTGAAGACTACACTTCAGATATTGCGTCAGTTTAACGCAGGAACATCTCAACAACTGTACGACATTTCTTGCGAATAATCGTTGAGTCTTCGGCTCGTTGCCGGAAGGCACTCAGAACAGTGGTGTGAACATATTGACCACCTCGGCCACTCCCTGCTTTAGAACATTAGCCCATCTCTATTACATTATGCATCGTCCCACCTCACCCCACAGCCTGCACTGCTTTGAACAACAGCGACACCGGATACACGTATCTATATAAGTGAGGCTTCGCTGGCCCTATCACACCGCCTTACTCGCATCTGCACCTATCAGCAAACGCTCAACAAGCCTTGCATTTGACCGAATTCTTGACTCAAATTCTTGACTCCGAAAAAAAAATTATCTGAGCAAATATCTTTGAACTGGTACCCATTATCAGCACCATATTACATCCTGTACTTAACTACCTACATTATGTGCATCGCTATTGTTACTACAGCGCACCCGGACTACCCGTTCATCTTGCTAAACAACCGAGATGTATTTAATGTGTACCTTTGTTGCTTTATGCTTATTGACATTTATATAGGAATATCTCCATCGGCCGACGGCTGAAGCAACTTGGTGGCCTGAGCCTGACACACAAGTCCTTGGAGGCTACGACCTGCACCGACCAGTTCACGGTACCTGGCTAGGCGTGACTCGTCAGGGTCGGATAGCTGTTCTTACCAACTACCGCGAAGAAGACCAAAGTATTGTTGAAGGTGCCCGAAGTCGAGGCCTGATCCCCAACGCATGGCTGAAATCGGATCCTGCTGCAAAAGAGTCAACTATCGAATTTGCACGGCGTATGATAGAAGAGGATGGTGTCAAGGGCGTGGGAGGGTTCTCGTTGTGTTATGGGCTTGTGCAAGATGTTGTTAAAACAGCCAAAGGAGATGGAAAGGGAATGGCGATCGTGAGCAACCGTACACCAGACGTTCAAGGTGTGATACGATTGTTAGGCGAGGAAGGAGAAACGCATGCCCTAAGCAACGCGGCATACGGAGACCGGTCATGGCCCAAAGTCG